GTACTGTGGCAGTCTTTTTTTCGTCTGCCTTTGGGTAAGGACCGAGAAGCCTTAGTCTCACTTTCTGCACTTCCTTTATTTTTTCATTATTTTTTATTGAGACCTTGCGAGAGGAATGTTCATTCCTTATGTTATTATTTCAAATCAAATTTTCTGAGATAATACAAATTTCTTTATTTATTATGAATTTTTACAGGCTGATCCAAAAACGAAACTTTTAAAGGCCCATCCCATCATCCCACCCTCTACGCCTTTTGTGGTGGGTGGGTTAAGGGGCCTCTCAGCGCTTTGTTTTCTTTGGTTCTGTTATTTTTGAGTTGGTGAGATTAATCAAGAGAGAAATTGGGATTATAATCGTTTAATGCAATCAAGGTCTGTGCAGACTTTTTAAGGACAAAAATAAAGTGGAATACATCATTTTTCCTCTTTGTACTTTTTCTGGGGAAAACGTAATGCTTAGGCTACAAAAAAGAAAGAAGGCAAATTTTGCCGGCTAACTGGTAATAAAGATGCTCGAATCGGAGCAAGGGCTTATTGCCACATTTTTATTTTTTTATTATTATTTTAAGAAAACTTATTTACTCCGCAAAGAAAGGAAAACGATATGAATCAAAAGATGAAATGAATTAAAAACGGAAGCCATAATTTTGAAACAAGAGAGATGTCTGAAAGACATTTTATTTCCTTTATTTTTTTTTTCGCTAAACCCCTAGTGTGAACAACTGGCGCGAGAGTCTGGACGCACGTTTGTCGTGTTTGCTGCTTTTCTCTGCCATAATCCTTGCGCCTTGCTGGTTATTACTTTTCCTCCTTTTACCCTTTCCTTCTGTGTTTGTGGGTGTATTACTATAGATCATTGAGCTAATGTCTGCGAGGCTATTGTCGATGCGCTCTCTCGTGTTGGCATTCGCATTGCTTTGCATTGTGTCTGCGAGGGGTGATGCGGTGCGTAATTTCTCCATCAGCGAAGACGGGTCAACATTTCTCCGTGACGGCACACCGTTTCAGGTGATCGGTGGTGGGTTCCACTATTTCCGTGCTCTTGCCGCGGAGTGGCCACAGCGGTTTGACACCATTGCTGCATCTGGCGTGAATACTGTCGAGACGTACGTGGCGTGGAACTTTCACTGCCCAGATGACCCGGACTCCTGTGATTTTAC